TCCCTAATATGTTATAGTTCATCACGAAGCTCTAGCAGCTTGGTGGCAATGACTTTGGAGAAACATCACTATCTCATCTGGAAGATCAACTCCCACTCGATTCAAGTGATTGTTGCACTCAGATAATCTGAGCACAAGCTCATCGATTGAGCTTTCTCCCTTAGTTTGCAGGCTAAGAAAATCGTCGGAGGTCTCATACCTCTTGACATGGGCACGAGCCTGAAATCCCAATTTCAGCCCTCGAAACATCTCATATGTTCCGCGACATTTTGAAAACGTCTTTGGTGCCTCTACTCTAAACCATTTAACTGAACTATCACGTAGTTATCAAAACGTGTATGTCCGATGTTCGCAACATCCACAGACGACGTTTGGGGTTCTGCACACTGAGCGGTGCATTAAGGACATAAGCTTTCTACTGTCCGCATAATTGCTACTGTCAACTTTCAACTATATTTTCTCTAGGAACATATCTAAACAGTGGAACTAAAGCGCGAGCTTACGACATAATTTGCAAAGATCTTTTGACTATGTTCAGGATAATTAAGTTCATCTTATGAACTCCCACTCAGATAGACATCCCTCTAGTCATCTAAGTGATTACATGATCCGAGTCAACTAGGTCGTGTCCGATCATCACGTGAGACGGACTAGTCATCATCGATGAACATCTTCATGTTGATCGTATCTACTATATGACTCATGCTCGACCTTTCGGTCTCTGTGTTCTGAGGCCATGTCTGTACATGCTAGGCTCGTCAAGTTAACCCTAAGTGTTTCGCGTGTGTAAATCTGTCTTACACCCGTTGTATGTGAACGTAAGGATCTATCACACCCGATCATCACGTGGTGCTTCGAAGCGACGAACTTTAGCAACGGTGCACAGTTAGGGGAGAACACTTCTTGAAATTGTTGTAAGGGATCATCTTATTTACTACCGTCGTTCTAAGTAAACAAGATGCATAAACATGATAAACATCATATGCAATCAAATAGTGACATGATATGGCCAATATCATTTTGCCCCTTTTGATCTCCATCTTCGGGGCTCCATGATCATCATCGTCACCGGCATGACACCATGATCTCCATCATCATGATCTCCATCATCGTGTCTTCATGAAGTTGTCTTGCCAACTATTACTTCTACTACTATGGCTACCGGTTAGCAATAAAGTAAAGTAATTACATGGCGTTGTTCAATGACACGCAGGTCATACAATAAATAAAGACAACTCCTATGGCTCCTGCCGGTTGTCATACTCATCGACATGCAAGTCGTGAATCCTATTACAAGAACATGATCAATCTCATACATCACATATCATTCATCACATTCTTCTTGGCCATATCACATCACATAGCATACCCTGCAAAAACAAGTTAGACGTCCTCTAATTGTTGTTTGCATGTTTTACGTGGCTGCTATGGGTTTCTAGCAAGAACGTTTCTTACCTACGCAAAACCACAACGTGATATGCCAATTGCTATTTACCCTTCATAAGGACCCTTTTCATCGAATCCGTTCCGACTAAAGTGGGAGAGACTGGCACCCGCTAGCCACCTTATGCACCAAGTGCATGTCAGTCGGAGGAACCTGTCTCACGTAAGAGTACGTGTAAGGTCGGTCCGGGCCGCTTCATCCCACAATACCGTCGAAACAAGATTGGACTAGTAACGGTAAGCATATTGAACAAAATCAACGCCCACAACTACTTTGTGTTCTACTTGTGCAAAGAATCTACGCAATAGACCTAGCTCATGATGCCACTGATGGGGAACGTAGCAGAAATTCAAAATTTTCCTACGTGTCACCAAGATCTATCTATGAAGAAACTAGCAACAAGGGGAAGGAGAGTGCATCTACATACCCTTGTAGATCGCTAAGCGGAAGCGTTCAAGAGAACGGGGTTGAAGAAGTCGTACTCGTCGTGATCCAAATCACCGGAGATCCTAGTGCCGAACGGACGGCACCTCCGCGTTCAACACACGTACAGCCCGGTGACGTCTCCCACTCCTTGATCCAGCAAGGAGAGAGGGAGAGGTTGAGGAAGACTCCATCCAGCAGCAGCACAACGGCGTGGTGGTGATGGAGGAGCGTGGCAATCCTGCAGGGCTTCGCCAAGCACCTGCGGGAGAGGAGGAGGTGTCACGGGAGGGAGGGAGGCGCCAGGGCTTCAGGTGCGGCTGCCCTTCCCTCCCCTCCCTTTATATAGGGGCAAGGGAGAGGGGGGAGGCGCAGCCTTGCCCCTTCCTCCAAGGAAGGGGTGCGGCCAAGGGGGGAGGAGTCCATCCTCCCCAAGGCACCTCGGAGGTGCCTTCCCCCTTGAGGACTCTCCCCTTTTTCTTATATCTTGGCGCATGGGCCTCTTGGGGCTGGTGCCCTTGGCCCATATAGGCCAAGGCGCACCCCCTACAGCCCATGTGGCCCCCCGGGCAGGTGGACCCCCCCGGTGGACCCCCGGACCCGTTTCGGCACTCCCGGTACAATACCGATAAAGTGTGAAACTTTTCCGGCGACCAAAATAAGACTTCCCATATATAAATCTTTACCTCCGGACCATTCCGGAACTCCTCGTGACGTCCGGGATCTCATCCGGGACTCCGAACAACATTCGGTAACCACATACAAACTTCCTTTATAACCCTAGCATCATCGAACCTTAAGTGTGTAGACCCTACGGGTTCGGGAGACATGTAGACATGACCGAGACGTTCTCCGGTCAATAACCAACAGCGGGATCTGGATACCCATGTTGGCTCCCACATGTTCCACGATGATCTCATCGGATGAACCACGATGTCAATGACTCAATCGATCCCGTATACAATTCCCTTTGTCTAACGGTATTGTACTTGCCCGAGATTCGATCGTCGGTATACCGATACCTTGTTCAATCTCGTTACCGGCAAGTCTCTTTACTCGTTCCGTAACACATCATCCCGTGATCAACCCCTTGGTCACATTGTGCACATTATGATGATGTCCTACCGAGTGGGCCTAGAGATACCTCTCCATTTACACGGAGTGACAAATCCCAGTCTCGATTCGTGCCAACCCAACAGACACTTTCGGAGATACCTGTAGTGCACCTTTATAGCCACCCAGTTACGTTGTGACGTTTGGTACACCCAAAGCATTCCTACGGTATCCGGGAGTTGCACAATCTCATGGTCTAAGGAAAAGATACTTGACATTAGAAAAGCTTTAGCATACGAACTACGATCTTTGTGCTAGGCTTAGGATTGGGTCTTGTCCATCACATCATTCTCCTAATGATGTGATCCCGTTATCAATGACATCCAATGTCCATGGTCAGGAAACCGTAACCATCTATTGATCAACGAGCTAGTCAACTAGAGGCTTACTAGGGACATGGTGTTGTCTATGTACCCACACATGTATCTGAGTTTCCTATCAATACAATTACAGCATGGATAATAAACGATTATCGTGAACAAGGAAATATAATAATAACTAATTTATTATTGCCTCTAGGGCATATTTCCAACAATTTCCCCCTCCCGGAGGGATGTTTCCCCGGCAGAACAGCTCCGCCGGAGCCCTAAATTGGTTCTGCCTAGGTTCCGCCTCGAGACGGCTGCGCTTCGTCCCGAAAGCTTACTCTTGATTTTTTTTTCGAGGCCAAAACACACCATATAGCCAAAGATGGACACCGGAAGCCTATCAGGGGCCCCACAAGGTAACAGAAGGCTGGGCCCATTCCCCAAGTTTGTAACAGAAGTTGTAGCTGGCGATATGCCGAGCGTATTAAGTTAATTAATGGAATGTTGTGTGTTCCTTTCAATTTATTTTTTTGCTTCAGGTCCCTCTCCTTCAAAATGACTCTCTCTGTCACTCGCTCCCCTGTTCCCCAATCTCTCATCGACGGTGGCGGCTGCCCAGATACGCAGATCCGGTGTTTCCGTGGCCTACTCCGGCCACTCCGACGACACCTGCTCCCTGCCTCCTCCCATCCTACTCCAGCACCCAGGTCGCTTGGCTCCGTCCCCAGGCCACCCCAACATCGCGTTGCGCATCCTCGTCAGTGAATGGGCCACCGCCACCACCCGCCACGGCTCCTCCTCCCTGGTGGCCGCAGGCGCCCCGCCCGCTCAGCTGCACGTTCCTACACCCGGAGGCAAGCTAGTAGTGGTCTAGTCCATGGCGATGCTGCCACTATATCCTCATCCTTGTTGCTCCTAGATCCAGCAATAGCTCAACGGAGGCAAGCCGACGGTGGTGCTCGATCTCCTCGCCTCCTCGGCCTCGCAGGATTAGCAACATTTTTTTAGGTGAACTAGGGATTTTATTCAACGTTCAAAGCCGAAGCAATACAAGCAATGTCTGGGAGAATCCCTATCCACAACCGGCGACCGGGAGGGAAAGCTGAAGCCGCCTTTGCAATGGCGTGAGCTTCAAAGTTTGCTTCCCTACACTCATATCCAAAACTAACTTTAACAAAATCATTCATTGATTCCTTCACTTCATCTATGACTAGTGCATAAGATGAAAACGATCTTCCATTGATGTCGGACACCATCTGCATGCAGTCAGATGCTATTATCGCATGTGAGATATGGAGATCCCTCGCCAGTGCTAGTGCCTCGCTGCACGCATGGGCTTCAAGACTTTCCGCATCCACTAGGCCATCAAAAGTAACTGCTGATGCCCCCAAGTAGTTGCCATGCTTGTCTCTGCATATGGCAGCCGCTGCCCCCGCCATGCCCGATCTTGAGATTGCACCATCAACATTAATCTTCACTGCATCTTCACCCGGAGGAATCCAGCGATGAACACACTGCATCTTCACCAGAATGTGCTTCCATATTCTGTCTTTCAGATATCTGAAGCATCCCTCTTTCTCCCTCCTCGGCCCATCACTCTTTGGGAAGAAAAAAAATGTATAACCGGCCGCACCGCTGGCCCATATTTCAGCAGGCTAACTACTGTACCGGCAAAGCCAGCTGATCCCTTCCCCAATTCCGGCCGCTCGAAAATGGCGGAGATAGCCGGCGACGAGACCCCGCCGCTACCTTCGTCTTCCGGCGCCGAGGAATCCTCTCTCCTCTCGTCCCCTCCCTCGCCCACCGCCACCAGCGGGGACAAGCCGCCGCCGCGCACGAGGAAGCCCGGCACGAAGCGCCTCGTCCTCACCGCCTCGGTCCTCGTCTCCTTCCTCGTCGGTACTACCCCCCACCTCCCCAAATCTCCATAGTTCCAGGCCTTTTTTCTCTTCTCTTCGTGTAACCATCTAGCTTTCTCTCTCCATAGGACTGCCCTTGCTGCTCAAATCCACCGAGATCCACCGGTCGCCGCTGCCCTCCGACGCAATCGCCGACCTGTCCCGGCGCCTCCAGTCGCACCCTCCCTCCTTCCCCTGTGGTCTCCACGCGGTCTTCCTCCGCTCCGGCCCTGGCTCCCCCGTCGCCTCCCTTGCCGATCAGCTCGAGCGGGCAATCTCGACCCAGCACCACCTCCTCCCCGCGTCTTCTACTGCTGGGAGCATCTCAGTGTCAGTCACCGTCCAGTCGGATGGCGGCTGCACCAGCAGCACGGCTTCCGCTTCGCCTTGGCGATGTGGCTCGGTGACCGCTGCAGACTCGGTCCGTGGTGATGAGGTGTTCGATGAATTGCTGCACTCTGCATTGGGTGGTGGTGATGGGGATGGGATGAAGGTTTACACTGTTGTCATTGCTGAGGATGATGATGGGAAGGGGACGAGGGTTGTGATCGGAAAGCACCGTCATGCTTGGGTTGTTGGGAAGGTTGATGAGGCCGAGGCTCTGTCCCTTATTAGGAAGGTGTTCATCAAGTATTTCATGAATGGCGGTATTGAAGAGGGTGAGACAGGCATTGGAAAAGGAGAGTTCATGCCAGTTGGTTCAGATGGGAATGTTGTTCTTTCATTCAGCTTGTTGAATGCTGATCCAAATGATTGGGTCTATGATTGGTAAGAACAGAAACTTTATAATATGTTATTCAAGTTATTTATGCATTTCTGCTATGGGTTTGAAATATAACTTTGTCCTGTGATGTGATAAATTGTTGAACTAAAGTACAATCACAGTACTATTACTGAGGAAGTATGGGAACATATGTCAGCACTGACTATAGAGATCTGTTAGCTCCCTCATTAGAATCAATTACAGTTTATTTGGTTGTAGTTAGCTAGTACTCCCTCCATTCCATAATTCTTGTCGTGGTTTTAGTTCAAATTAGTACACGCTATTATTGCTCTTGCTGTTAGAAACTTTACTTTACTCTTAAGCCTCCCACATGCAGGGAGTTCAAAAATATTGGTGAGAGAATCCTTACTCCTGTGGTTGAGGCCCTGCGACCAGTTGCTGATATCAACATAGAGAGTCAGGTGCATATTTTGCCTTGTTTGGGCCAAGCTTGCCTCCTCTATCTCTTCTAAAGGTGTCAATATTAATAAGTACTATACAACTTCTCTTGTCCTTTCCAGGTTCTCTACCACACTCCGAAGTCGTCCTATTCTTATTCTGACGATAAATTGGGGGGCAATGTCCTTAGTATGGGAGACATTCCTTTCTTTGTATGTTTCTGACTTACTCTGCATATGAAATCTAGTCTTGCTCATTGCTTCGTTATTTGGATAACTGCTTGTTAATGCCTGCTTTTTTAAGTGTCAGCTGTACTAATTTAGCGGTGCAATCAAATTGATAGGTAAACTCAAATGAGTGGCATTTGGATACATCGATTTCAGCTACAGGACGATCAAAAGTTCTTCAGTTTGTGGTGTATGTTTATTTAGATCACATCCGTATCTTTGAACTTTTTCTGTTCTTTACTTTGCAAGGCATGTCATGTTATGATCAACGTTCTTAAACATATTACAGAAAAATACAAGTAGGACAATGCTGGCTTGCTACTCTGAATTTGCTTCATTTTGTGATCATACTCACTTTTCATCTGCCAAACTGCTCGTAGATATATGTGATCCCATTGTCTTTTGATGATGCTCTGTCCCCATTGCTTGATAGTTATTTCTTTTTTCTGTTTCAGTAAACAGCACCCTTTACAGAATATGTCGTATTTTAATCCAGTATTCTGGTTTTCCAAGCATACACAGACATAGGATGATATCTTAAATGTTTCTGAATACCAAGTGTAATATATATTTTATGAACTTTTTGGATGGTCATTAGTCATCTGAACTGCTTGTTCTGTAATGAACAGGTATATTCCATCTGCAAGGGAATGCCCTTTGTACTTGCAGCTTCCAGATGGGGAGCTTTCGAAAACTAATGCATTTATTTCCCCAGTAAGTACTATGCACCTTTCTTGTGCTGTCCAGCTTACCATTTTTCTTGACAGTGTTATCCTATTATGTAGATGTGGGGAGGTGTTGTTATTTGGAACCCACCAGGCTGTTCACTTGGTTCAAAGAAGGCGCATGGGACTCGGAGACAAATGTCATCACAGGTGTGTAGAATTCATCATCTTTTGTCTTTGCCTTCTTATATGTTTGCAAGTTCATGTACGCTGAAGCATTGATGTGCAACAGGAACTTATGGAGACTCTGGAAATCTTCATTGGGCAGCTAAGACAGTTATTTGGTCTAAAACCGAACTATCATGCACATGGCATGGATGTGGCAACTAAATTCCTAGTTAGTGAAAAGGGGTTTGCACAATGGTGAGAATATCACGCTGCTTGTTTAATAGGATACTATGACACAAAAATCATTTTGTTATGACAGCACGATTTTACAAAATCTGGATTGCATATTTCTTTTATCTGTAGTCACATCGGACTTGAGAACATATTTGGCATCATTATTATCAAATTCTTGTTAAAACAGTTTTCAGATTTCCAAATCATCGGCATTGTAGTATGGCATAATATCAGGGAACACATTCATCAAGTTCAGTGCTTGTCTAAATATCATATCTAGAATTATGTGATTACTTTGTAATTGGTGTGGGAAAGTCTGTCTATTTTTTATACTTACTCTATAACTACACGGTTCAAGGTCACAGCCGTTGTGAGTTCAGACACTTAGTTTTGGATACCTGTTGAACCTGTTGATCTCTAAGGTTCTTTACAGGAGTTATCTTCGAAGACTCTTAACAATTATTATTGGTTTCTTGTTTCATAACTCTTACAGGGAATTGGATTTACTATACAGACATCATGCATGTTCCAACCTTTTGTCATGTGTCGCCACCTTGGAATCTCTTTCCAGCTTGGTACTACATCAGAATTTCTGAATGAGATAATATAAATTGTTGTTCTTCACACAGATACTGATGAATGTTGTTTCTGTTGACAGGTCCAATCGCTCCCAAGAATGATTGTTATGGATGAAATTGGGAGGCAGGTTTGTTCCTCTACCACTCTTGCTGAATGAATAGTTCATGATCATCTGTAGCACTACTTCATTTATTTTCCGCTACTGTTTTTGATTCTGGGTAAGCAGCAGAATATTCAGACAAAGCTCCACATGCCTCATGACCCTGAACATTCATGGAGTCCGTTGTTATTATCTCTAGTTCTTCACGTAGTTATAGTATAAAATCACATCATAAGTTCATAGTGAGGTCAGGTTTTTATTGACGTCTGACAAGTAATGTTTTCCAGGTAGAGCTTTCGCTTGAAGCCGCAAGCTTAGCTCAAAGGAACGCCACTCTTGGAATAGGTGACTCTTCTGCAGGCAAGTTTGGCACACATTTTATTGCACATGTTACTTGGAGGGACAGACTGTAAAGGTTTTGTTAACACTATGCTGTTCTGTAGTGTCTGCAACGAGAGCGAGGGCTTTGGCCGAGGACGCTTTTTTCCATCCATCCATTATGTCAATCAGTTATGCTTCCGTGGAGCACTACTTCGCGATTTACATGGTCAGTATTCACTAAATTATAGTCCTCACTTTAAGTTTACAATTGTGAGGTTTGGTACTTTCAATTGTTTGTCCTATAAACAATAAAAAGAAAACTAAGTCAGCATCATGGTACTTTCGAATCATGTGTCTTCAACCGTGGATCTTAAACCAAGGTTATAGCATCATAGTCAGCAGCGACGGCGACAGCAATCCCCTCTTATGTGAGTTGTGTAATGCTGCATGAAAGCCCTACACGCCAGTAACCCTCATGGTGCATGGTTCCTTCCATGCTAGGACTTTGCATCACTCATTCTGTCATTCGACGGCTCCGCCTTAGGAAAATGTCTAGTGATAACGCAGTTGATCTAACCATACGTGGAGCGTTATTGAAGTGCAAGCTGCCCTGTAAGTTGACATGTTTTTTCTTTAAATCTTTTTGCAGCCATTCTTTGCGCCAGTGTGTTTGCATGTGCTGCTGGCGGCGATCAAAGAGCTGAAACGCTACAAGGTGGAGCGGGCCAAATACTCGGCCTTCCTGGCTTCCCAGTCCCAAGCGACGACTTCCTCCTGATCCATCCATCCATCAATCAATCAATCAATCCATCATCGGTGACAGGCTGCAAAGCATCGCCGGCTGCTCCACGCTTGGCATCGTCATCCATCGTCCCACGGAGTCTGACAGGTGACCGAAGGTAGTAGATGATGATGATCTGTAGTGGCATCCTAGGCAGGCAGACGAGTAGGGGGGCTTGCGCATGTAAATCTGTATAACTTGCAGTATACGGTGGATTTTGCTTATAGTCCACATTTTTGTTCGTAAAAGAAGACTTGCTTGCCCTCTCACTTGAAGAAATCCGTGTCAATTTCCAAGTTCACCATTCTTTTCCCTTTTGGTTGAATCAATCGTCTCTGAAAAGAAACTGGCGCTTTTGTTTCGCCCAAAATGGCAAGGCGTCTTCGTTAGGGGAAAGGAAAAGGAAAATGGCACTGGGCGTCGTTACGTTTTTTGTGAAAGGGCCGTTACGTATTTGCGAAGGCTCCGAGCCCCCAACCAACCGCAAGAAGCGAGAAAGAAACCGCACGCTCGCGTAGTTAGTTACCGACTTACCGCGCCACCGGCGGTACCGTCACAGTGACAGACGGACGGACAGGCAAACGACCCACCCGAGACTCGAGTCCACAGGCCACGACGAACCGCTGCGGTTCGGAAAAAGCGCGCAGGCTTTACTTTCGACGCTCCCTCCTCCCCTCCCATTCGCCTTCCTCCTCTGCGTTCGTCGCAAACCCCCGGGGCCCCAAAACGGCAAAACCTCTCCTCTGCCAAGCCTCCAAATGCGAATGCGCGACTAGCATCGAGGCGGAAACTGCCCCCGCCGCGGCACCGAGCGCGATGCCGTCCTCGTCGCCCCCGCCGCCGCCTCCCGGGGCGTCCGGCGACGCGGTGCCGCCGTGGCTCAAGGCCCTGCCGCTGGCGCCCGAGTTCCACCCCACGGCGGCCGAGTTCGCCGACCCCGTCGCCTACCTGCTCAGGATCGAGCCCGCCGCGGCGCCCTTCGGCATCTGCAAGGTCGTCCCGCCCTGCGCGCGCCCGCCCCGCAAGGCCACCCTCGCCAACATCGCCCGCTCCCTCGCCGCCAACGACAAGGCCGACGCCGACGACCACGCCCAGTCCCCGCCGTCCTTCCCCGTCCGCCACCAGTACCTCGGCCTCTGCCCGCGCCGCCCGCGCCCCGCGCTCCAGACCGTCTGGCTCTCCGCGCGCCGCTACACGCTCCCGCAGTTCGAGTCCCGGGCGGCCGCCGCCCGCGCCCCGCTCCTCGCCCGCCTCGGCGTCCCCGCCGCCAAGCACCAGGGCGACCGCCTCCCCCCGCTCGACCACGAGGCGCTCTTCTGGCGCGCCGCCTCCGCCGACCGCCCCATCACCGTCGACTACGCCAGCGACATGCCCGGCTCCGGCTTCCCCCCCTGCGCCGCGCGCTCCGCCCAGGGCCAGCAGCCCGCGCACGTCGGTGAGACGGCCTGGAACATGCGCACCGCCGCCAGGAGCCCCGGATCGCTGCTGCGGTTCATGCGCGACGAGGTGCCTGGGGTCACCACGCCCATGCTCTACGTCGGCATGCTCTTCAGTTGGTTCGCCTGGCACGTCGAGGACCACGACCTCCACAGCCTCAACTACATGCACCTCGGCGCCGCCAAGACCTGGTACGGGGTGCCCCGCGACGCCGCGCTCGCCTTCGAGGACGTCGTGCGCGTGCACGGCTACGCCGGGGAGGTGAACCCCCTAGGTGAGGACAGCCGTTTGTTGTTTCCTGTACTAGTTCCGCCGTGTCCTCTGTTGCTCTGACTGCACAGTGGTTCCGTCGAATTGCGGTGCAGAAGCATTCGCGACGCTGGGGAACAAAACGACCCTGTTGTCCCCTGAATTGCTCGTCGGCTCGGGGGTACCCTGCTGCAGGTGGTGCTATCTCCTGTTTTTGAACAAATTTGATCTCATACGTGTGTGGTTGTTGACGGACGCCTGGTTCTGTGCACTGGAACAGGTTGGTGCAGAATGCAGGGGAGTTTGTGGTCACCTTCCCAGGATCATATCACTGCGGTTTCAGCCATGGTGAGCGCTCGCACCAGTTAACATCACCGAAAATCCTCCTTTCGTACACTGAATTTCTGGTTGATGCATGCCTACGCAATTAGGCATGTCCAGTGCGTGCCAAACTTGTCCAAAACGTATAGGCTCTAGTTGTGTTAAACATAGGTTTGCTAGGTGATTTTTTGCAAGCACGACCCTCGGTTTATAGTTATGTTAACGCGTCCCTGTCCTGAGTTTGTTTATGCATCTTGACATGGGGCCTCCGTCAATTCATCTCATCTAGGCAGGTGTGCAATATGCAAATGCATGATCTGTATTTGTAGTGAACACATGAACTTAAGCTGCTACTTGGCCATCACTTTGTTGGCTCTTGCAATTTATAATAACCCCATGTGGACCAATTCGATTTTGGCAGGTTTCAACTGTGGCGAGGCATCAAATATAGCTACTCCTGAATGGTTGAGAGTAGCAAAAGAGGCAGCAGTCAGGAGAGCCTCAATCAATCAACCTCCCATGCTTTCACACTATCAACTGCTTTACGAACTTGCACTATCAATGTGCATCAGGTATTTGACAACTTGCATGCTTCATGATGCACACTGTTCTTATGAGATATTCTGTTAGCTTCCTGCCTCAATACAGAAAATGCTGTTCTTGTAATTCCTTGTCATTGTCCAACTTGTATCATGTTTTCACCTGAAAATAATTTGTCAGCAGGTGTGCAATCTGCAACTTCCATATATGTTAAATCATAATATATGGTTCTGTGACCAGTGTTTGACAATATTTGATGTTCCACTTGCAGTTTCTCTGACCCAGTCAAGGAAGTATATTTTTCATTTGTGTGTCTTAAAGTAGCCCTGGTTTAATGGTAATGCTTTAGTCTGGTAACCATGAAAGGAATTTGTATATTTTTCCGTTCTGTGTCTTACAGTAGTCAGTAGCCATGACTTAATGACAATGCTTCAATCTGGGAATTGTGTTCACGTATATATCGTTGGAGCTCTCTTTCTGTGCTTGGATCCAGCGCAATGTTTTTTGTATATTTTTTTGGACCTTTTACTTATTGTTTTCCAACTGTTATATATCCAGGGACCCGTCCATTGGGGCAATGGAACCACGCAGTTCTAGACTGAAGGAAAAGAAGAAGGGTGAAGGGGGACAATTGGTCAAGAAGTTATTTGTCCAAAATGCTATTCAAGATAATGAACTGCTTAGTTGTCTTCTGAATGATGGATCTTCTTGTATTATTCTTCCTATAAATGCTCATGATGGTCCTGTTCTTTCAGCTTTGCGTTCAAGATCCCAATTAATACCTAAATCCAAGTTGTCAGATGGGCTATGCAGCAATGGAGAAACTCTTGAAGCCTTGGCAAGATGTACGCATAATTCACATAATGCAGAAGGTGACAAGGCGGATGTAATCAGTGCTGCTGGGCTCTTAGATCAGGGCTTATTATCCTGTGTCAGCTGTGGGATTTTAAGTTTCTCCTGTGTGGCTGTCATCAAGCCAAGAGAGTGTGCATCAAAATACTTCATGTCTTATGATTATAATTCGATCAATGATCAGCTTGTTGATTCTGGAGGGTGTCATCTGGCAAATGCAGCTGGAAGTGAAGGGACCAATGGTGGCATTCTACGTAAGTTACATATCTTACAACATATAGCGTCAATTATGTCGACTTACCTTCCCTTTTTCCTAATCGGCATGGGCTTCTCTATTCGCTGAGTTACTGATATTTGCATAAGTTCCTGAAGTAGTCAACAGATTATTTATGCTTTTATGATCTCTTAGAAGTTATAACTAGATCATTCGGACTGTCAAAAATAAATAAATAACTAGACCATTCGGAATTCAGTGGTTAAAATGGATGCAGATTTGGCCTTCTGATTTTATTTTATTGGGAACGTATAACCTTTTTTAAAATTTCACAGCTAAAAAAGAGCATAGCCTTGAAACTTCCATTCCCTGACCATGCCACGTTGCCAACCACAGGATAATGTATTTTATTCTTTCAGAGACTGTATCCAGAATTACAGGATGCATTGCTTATTACCATGGAAAATGGGCCGCTTTATAAATTTTCTTTTTAAGTCATTCTTATGATGGATATGAATTGTGATACTTATGACCTATTTGATTGCTCATTGTGTAATATTAGTTTATGAGCATATCTCCTAGGAGACCAATGGACTACACATTAATTCCAAACAGAGAACAGTCGCAGATTCAATGCTTGTAGAGACAAACATACACGGATGTAACTTGTGTAGCTCTAGTTGGATTTCTTGCTCATTTGCAATGCTAAAGTGGATTTATCGTAGTTTCTTTCTCTTACAGCGTTTATCGTGTTATCTGATGCAATGTATGTATTCCTAATCAATATGCAGGCCCCGGTTTTGAACTGCATGGCACTGAAATACTTCCTGATGCTGGACCTGTCACTGATTCTGCTCCTGATCTTCTGGCATCTGCTTATGGAAATCAACCGGACACTGATGAACATAATCGGAATAAGAAAATTAAGGTCTCTCATGACTCCAGCGAATTAGACGGAACGAAGATTCCCTCAAGTAGCATTAAATGCCAACAAAGACCATCATCCCAGAGCTCTCAGTGTATTGGCGGCTCAAGTATTTCGAATGGACCAAGAGGTGTTCGCACAAGAAACAAATATCAACTTAAGATGGCACTGTCTCAAGGTTTTCAGCTAAAGAATAATTATTGGACAATGGAACAGAAAGTTCAACCTGAACCGTCAAGGTCAAAAGAGACTGTGAAGGAGCCACTTGATGCCAGCGGTGCAGATAATGATGCTAGATGTAGCACTGCAATTTCTGTGGGTGGCCCTAGAATCTCTACAACCACGATGGACAACTTAAATAAACCAATTGTGAAAATTGATAAGGATTCAGCAAGAATGCATGTATTTTGTCTTGAGCATGCCGTCGAGGTTGAGAAGCAACTCCAAGCAATTGGTGGGGCCCATGTTATTCTTTTATGCCGTCCAGGTCAGCCATCAAGCTGCATAGTCATCATGATTGAGTGCAATGCACCTTTTTTAAATCTGATGATTTTTGAACTTGTGGCATCCTCTCTTATGTTGTATGTACTCAGTATGACTGAGCAATGGCTCATTCTGATTTTATTTGAATATGTTAATGCAGTACTGTTCAAAATCACAGTAATACTCTCTATCAACGTTGGTAATGTCACAAATTAAAATTAGACCTGTTGAGCTTGAGGTGTTCATAATACTGATTCTTTGTTCTGAAAGCATAACTGTCTTGTTTGTTATGGTTTGTGTACAGAATATCTTAGAATAGAAGCAGAAGCAAGGTCGTTAGCTGCCGAACTGGAAGTTGAGCATGGCTGGAAGGACATCCATTTCAGGGAAGCCAACATGGAGGACAGGAAGATGATTGAAGAACTCCTGCAGGATGAGGAATCAATACCAACAAGCAGTGATTGGGCTGTAAAGCTGGGAACCAATCTTTACTACAGTGCAAATCTGGCCAAATCTCCTTTACATAACAAACAAATACCATACAACAGGGTCATCTATAGGGCATTTGGCCGCAGTTCTCCTGATAACTCACCAGTAAAACTGGAAAACTGCGAGGGGAGTCGAGACACGCAGAAGAAAATAGTCTTGGCTGGCCGATGGTGTGGGAAAGCATGGATGTCAAACCAGGTCCATCCATTCCTAGCTCAGAGAATTGAAAGCAGTGAACTGGAGGAGACCGACAAGTCTAGTGGAGTGGAAGCCTCCAAACGAAATAGTAGCACTATAACAGATGTACCAAAATCATCAAGCAAGAAAAGGGAGAACATGGCTGTGGAGGTAACAACAGACACCAAGAGGCCCAGACTAGCTAAGGGGTACAGCTCCAAAGCATTAAAAGGCGTTGCTGAAGTGTCCCACCCCTCACCAACTGCAGTGGTTCCCCGTGTCAGCTCTAGGATTGCCGATAGAGCAAACAGGCTAAAATCAGAGATGACAGAAGAGCCAAAGGCTACTTCCCATTCGCGAACAAGGCCACCAAAGAAGTTTGAGGTTGAAGCAAAGAAGCAAATGAAGATGAGGAAAGAAGACAAGATGATGGCTCCAACTGCTCCAAAGGATGATGAGGAGCGCCCATCTGCTACCAAGGGGGGTCCTTCTGTGGGCCCTGCCACTAAGCTGGAGTTTTCTCAGCGTAAGCGCAGAACCAGAACCGATACGATGAAGCAACTGAAGAAAGCCACAGGAGAGGAGAGGACTCCAAGAGATCATCCAATGCACGTCGAAGGGTACACATGCAGCATCGAGGGTTGTTCGATGAGCTTTGACACAAGAAATAAACTGTCCCTGCATGAGCTTGACATGTGCCCGGTTGAGGGCTGTGGAAAGAAGTTCTTCACCCACAAGTTTCTGCTGCAGCACGGCAAGGTTCACATCGAAACGATGAAGCAACTGAAGAAAGCTACAGGAGAGGAGAGGGCTCCAAGAGATCATCGGATGCGCGTTGAAGGGTACACTTGCACTATCGAGGGCTGCTCAATGAGCTTCGACACGAAAAAGGAACTGTCCCTGCATGAGCGCGACACCTGCCCGGTCAAGGGCTGTGGGAAGAAGTTCTTCACGCACAAGTATCTGCTGCAGCACCGCAAGGTCCACACAGACGACCGTCCGCTGAAGTGCCCGTGGGAGGGCTGCGACGTGGCGTTCAAGTGGGCATGGGCCAGGACAGAGCACCTTAGGGTTCATACGGGCGACAGGCCCTATGTTTGCCGTGAGCCAGGGTGTGCAGAGACGTTCAGGTTTATATCAGATTTCAGCCGTCACAAGCGCGAGACAGGCCACTCAACCAAGCAGACTAAAACCAAGACATGAAGCAGGAGAAAAAGTTATGGTATACCAGAAGCGACAGGGGTAAGTTTGTATATAGTGCACCAGTACCCGGAGCTCACGATTATCTTCATTTAGCCAACTCTATTAGCCAAGCACCACAATGGGTGTGCTTTCTATGTATCTATCTAATTTCGATCATTGGTCATTTCTATGATTACTAATTGGGATCCCTTACTAATTTAGCTAGTCTGGCAGTTTAGCACTGATGTTATGTCGGATGTATTGACGTTGTCATTATAAATGTCATGTTTAGTATGATCACCCTCTTTTGGCTCCGCTTCTTTGCTGTGTTAGCCTTTGTGGCATGGACGATAATTTTGCTGCGGTGATTATTATTTTTTGAATGAAAGAAGGGAAACCATCTGATCCAAAGCCTGATAGTTTTGCTGCGGTGATGCCGCGATAGTATGACGATACTGTAGTTGTGAGCTTGTTGGAGGCGGTAGTGCACAGAAGCAAGGCACAGATCCGTTGGCTGTCGTGGATCTGTTTGTGCTGTTGGTGTTGGGCTGCCCACCCAGCTTGTGGGATGGCATGCTTGCATTGCTTTTTGGTGCTGTCAGGATTGGCACTTGGGAGTGGGACTGGAACTGCAATAGCTGCCTGGTGCGTCAGCCACGCAAAGGGCTCCTCCGTTCCTCAACCTGAAAGTGCTTGGAGTTGGAGAGCCCGCAAACATTGTGCACCCCGTACCAAGTTTGTTTCAACCTCAGTCCTTTATATTAATTGTATTTACTACACGTTTATGCAAGCAAAATCAAACAAATGAACTGAGCAAGGCATAACAAAATTTGGCCAATGCCTATTAAGGGATCTTCAAGGCGGACCCTCAAACCGCCCGCAACTGTCCGGACCATGCAGTTTGCCATTCAACGCGGGCCTATATCAGTATGACTTTGACATCCCCGGCCCACCCAAAACCTTCCCTGGACCCCGCGACTCAATCCTCCCCGTTTTCTCTCCTTCCTTCTTTCTCGCTTGCCTTCGCCGTCACTCCACCACCCCGGCCGCCACGCCACGCCCCTGCCGGAACTCTACATCTCCGTCACCTGCAACGTTCCAGCCGAGCTCCACCCTGCTTCTCCTCCGTCGTTGATACGTCTCCAACTTATCTGTAATTTTTGATTGTTTCATGCTATTATATTATCTGTTTTGGATGTTTTATATGCATTAATATACTATTTTTGGGACTAACCTATTAACCTAGAGCCCAGTGCCAGTTTATGTTTTTCCCTTGTTTTTGAGCTTCACAGAGAAGGAATACCAAACGGAGTAAAACCTTCGCGGTGATTTTTCTTGGGCCAGAAGACACCCAGGAGACTTGGAGATCAAATCGGAAGAGCCACGAGGCGGCCACAAGGAGAGAGGGCGCGTCCCCTGCCTTGTGGGCCCCTCGTGATTCCCCTGACCTAATTCTTCGTCCTATATATTCACATATATCACCAAACCACCAGAAGCATCCACGAAAACACTTTTCCACCGCTGCAACCTGTTGTTCCCTTGAGATCCCATCTAGGGGCCTTTTTCGGCATCCTGCCAGAGGGGGATTTGATCACGGAGGGCTTCTACATCAACACTATTGCCCTTTCGATGAAGCGTGAGTAGTTTACCTCAGACCTACGGGTCCATAGCTAGTGGCCAGATGGCTTCTTCTCTCTCTTTGATTCTCAATACCATGTTCTCCTTGATGTTCTTGGAGATCTATCTGATGTAATCTTCTTTTGCGATGTGTTTGCTGAGATCCGATGAATTGTGGATTTATGATCAGCTTATCTATGAATATTATTCGAATCTTCTCTGAATTCTTATATGCATGATTTGATACCTTTGTAATTCTCTTCGAACTATCGGTTTAGTTTGGCTAACTAGATTGGTTTTTCTTGCAATGGGAGAAGTGCTTAGCTTTGGGTTCAATCTTGTGGTGTCCTTTCCCAGTGACAGTAGGGGCAGCAAGGCACGTATTGTTGCCGTCGAGGATAAAAAGATGGGGTTTACATCATATTGCTTGAGTTTATTCCTCTACATCATGTCATCTTACTTAATGTGTTACTCTGTTCTCCATGAACTTAATACTCTAGATGCAGGCAGGAGTCGGTCGATGTGTGGAGTAATAGTAGTAGATGCAAGCAGGAGTTGGTCTACTTGACACAGACGTGATGCATATATTTCATAATCGTTGCATTAGATATCGTCATAACTTTGCGTTTTTCTATCAATTGCTCGACAGTAATTTGTTCACCCACCATATTATTTGCTATCTTGAGAGAAGCCACTAGTGAAACCTATGGCCCTCGGGTATATTTTCTATCATACAAGTTTCCGATCTATTATTTTGCAATCTTTTACTTTCTGGCCTATAAACCAAAAAACCCAAAAATATTTTACCTTTGTTTATCTATCTCTATTAGATCTCACTTTTGCAAGTGACCGTGAAGCGATTGACAACCCCTTTATTGCGTTGGGTGCAAGTTGTTTGATTGTTTGTGCAGGTATTGATGATTTGTGCATTGTCTCCTACTGGATTGATACCTTGGTTCTGTAACTGAGGGAAATACTTATCTCTACTTTGTTGCATCACCCTTTCCTCTTCAAGGGAAAAACCAACGCAAGCTCAAGAAGTAGCAGGAAGAATTTCTGGCGCCGTTGCCGAGGAGATCTACGCCAAGTCAAGACATACCAAGTACCCATCATAAAACTCTCATCTCTTACATTACATTATTCGCCATTTGCCTCTCGTTTTCCTCTCCCCCACTTCTAAAACGATTTTCAAAATGATTTACCTTTTTATTCGTCCTTCTTCCATTCGTCTTTTCGTTTGCCCTTTATGTCTTACTTGGCTTGTTTGCTTGCTTGCCTGGCATAATCGTGTATTTATTGAAATTCAGAAACAAAAAGTTTATGAATCCTTATCCACTTGCTAATCTTTTTAAGAGATCCAATTATGATGAACCTATTGCTAGTGAGTTGACTGGACTAGATTATCTTTATGAGATTTTGCTTAAAATTCATGAATCTGAAAATTGTGATGGTATGTTGAAAGAAGAAACTTATAAAAAGATTCACGATAACTCCTTGAATGAAAAACATGATTGCAATGATGTTATTATAAATTCTTTTAATGTCAATTATGTTAATGATATGCAAAACCCTAAGCTTGGGGATGCTAATTTTGCTATGTCTACTACTTGTTGCAATGATCATGATTGGGGTGATCCTTCTTATGATCTTGAAAATTTATTTAAGCCCCATGATGAATATGAGATTGATAATAATGTTCGCAATAATATTGAAAGTGGGTTTGGAAGAGTGTCAACTTTAGATCCCGCATATTTGGTAAGTGATGCATGTGATGGTTACGAGGTAACCCGAGCAGAATACTGAAGGAAATATCAGGGCCGGCCCTGAGGGGGGGCAGGGGCGGCCGCCCCGGGCCCCCGATATCCAGGGGCCCCGTGCCAGGTGGTACGCCCTATGCAGCAGCTAGCCCTTGACCCTGGCCCGATACGCAGCCTCGCGGTAACAGTCGAGCTTAGCGGGTACATTAGGAAGCCTACAATCCATCCCGAGAATCCCGTCTACTACTCCCGGGGCAATTGCCAAATTTGTTTCCTTTCCATCATGAGTTCCCATATCTGGTTGCTACGATCCCTAATTCCCTACTACCCTAGTATACTCGTTTGAGCCCCGATCGCTAGTTCCGGCCTCACAGGCGCTCAACGGTTTTCGCCAAGGTCCTGAGGCCCTGACAGCCGACCGCCGTAGTTCGCCGACAAACTCCCATCCCCTATCCCTAGGCGCTGAAGCACACGCACATCGTTGAGGGCGTTCGGCAGACAACAGTCCACATCGCAACATTGCCGTGCCCAGCGTCCGACGAGTGGTCGCCAACGCCGATCCGAACGGTTTCAGGTATATCATATAACCATTCCCTAGATGTATACTGTAAATTAAGTACTCCCTCCGTCCCGTAATGTAAGACGTTTTTTTGACACTACACTAATGTTAAAAAACGTCTTACATTATGGGACGGAGGGAGTAGTAATTTACAAGACTGTGCAACTTTTCGATGCCAAAAAAAATCCTAGCCCTTCTTGTTATCATGTCCTCTACAAAGTATGCTTCTGGTAGAATTTTTTTAAAGGGAATGGAACAGCGTGTGGATCATTGGTGCTTCAAAGAACCCTAATGATGAGTTGAGTATTGTGGATACTTCTTGCGAAGGAAGAGAAACCAAATATGTAATTGGAATTCTGAATCTTAACAAGATGAAAATACTGACATCAACAATGGCAATAACAATGTATGCGATTTTGCTTATAATTGTTATGTGACGTTTATACTAGGGGCCCCAAGGTTTGGGTTCACCCCGGCCCCCTGAAATCACAGGACAGGCCCTGGGAAATATGCCCTAGAGGCAATAATAAAGTTATTATTTATTTCCTCATTTCATGATAAATGTTTATTATTCATGCTAGAATTGTATTAACCGGAAACTTAGTACATGTGTGAATACATAGACAAACAAAGTGTCACTAGTATGCCTCTACTTGACTAGCTCGTTGAATCAAAGATGGTTAAGTTTCCTAGCCATTGACATGAGTTGTCATTTGATTAACGGGATCACATCATTAGAGAATGATGTAATTGACTTGACCCATTCCGTTAGCTTAGCACTTGATCGTTTAGTATATTGCTATTGCTTTCTTCATGACTTACACATGTCCCTATGACTATGAGATTATGCAACTCCCGAATACCGGAGGAACACTTTGTGTGCTACCAAACGTCACAACATAACCGGGTGATTATAAAGGTGCTCTATAGGTGTCTTTAATGGTACTTGTTGAGTTGGCATAGATCAAGATTAGGATTTGTCACTCCGATTGTCAGAGAGGTATCTCTGGGCCCTCTCGGTAATGCACATCACTATAAGCCTTGCAAGCAATGTGACTAATGAGTTAGTTGCAGGATGATGCATTACG